AAGAACTCATCGAATAATGATAAAAATAAGGCATATAGAAGATTATCATGAATTCTAAGATAATCGATGATATCATTAAATAAATTTGTATCAAATATCTAATTCCGAATTATGAAAATAAATAAGATCGATGAACAATATTTCAGAAGAATAAATCAAGAATCTTCAAATAATATCGTCCGGATCAATAAAACATATCCTAATCCATCAATTTCGAGAAATCCATAATGTCGACGAACCGAATAAGATATTCATAGAAGTCAAATCTGAATATATGAATTCATAATTTTTTCGTCTTCGTTCTCGTTCTTCTGTTCAATTCAAAAAATGACCTCATAGAAAAATCATGTAGAGATCCTCCTCATTTCATGATGGAATAATTGATAGGAAATCTATCGATTCATGGAATATTTCATTCTAGGCCCAGGGGCAAAACACTTCAAGGGATTCGATGACCTTGGGGGAAGCACGCATTGAATAGATTTTATAGTGGCCTGTAAGAAAACCAGTCTTGCATTTCAATCTATGAGGGACTATTTCGAAACCTTTGAGCAACAATTCTAGACCACAGCTTCATTGCGGGCTCGGGAAAGTTGGGGGAGGACGCAGGTGTTTTTTGAATGCAAGAACTAGCGCGAGAGGCCAGAATCTGACTTGTCATGGTCATCGTCTTCCTCGTCCAGGAAATTGCCGTTCACATCGTAGGCCTGGCGGATGGCGCGGTAGATCTCCTCCTGAAAGTGTTCCGAAAATTCGGGGTACCTTCTTGGGATCCTGACTATGCGGGAATCCGATTGTTTGGGGGTCGATGTAAAAATAGCATGACGGTATCACAAGGAGAGACAGGAATGATTGTGGAGTAGGCCAGCCCGGAGCTTGCAATGTCCTTCGGCTGGCCGCTGGCAACCAGCTGTGCGATGTCTGCCTGTATGGTGGCTCGTCGCTCGGGCTGCTGGGGCAAGCCTGCAAAACCAGAACCAAAGTCAGCAGTTCATTCGCGGAGAACTTTCTGCATGTCTTGTGGGCAGGCCTGATGCCGGGTTCCACCACCTGAGCCAAGAAGGCTGGAGCACGACATACGTGTCAGATGAGTGATGTTCCTGCTTTCTCAGCTTCTGGATTTCGTTGTCTAAAAACAGTCTCTGTGAAGTGTTTTCGCGAACAGAAGCTGGCATCTGTTTCAGTCTGCTGCTTCTGAAGGTATAAGATTCCTTGCTTCGTGGAAAGGGTGTTCTGCGTTTGGCGGCCTTTCGGCGGCCAACTCCAGCAGGAACACAAAACGTTCATCGCCCTGAGGTTCGTGCTTTGCTCTCCACTTGTTCCCGGACATTCGGCCGTAGAACTCATCGTAGTAGCTAGGTCCTGGCTGCCACGCGCGTGCGTGCCCTGTTCCTTTTCTTCGCAAGCTAGGTCCCAAACCCTCACGCTACAGCCCTTTTCCATACATGGAAGACGTTGAAAGCACAGCACCACCACCGCCACCACCAACTATCACTGCCACTGCTGCAACTACCGCTATGTACGTATACTACTCATGACGATAAACACGTCCTACAAGAAGAAGATCTGCGCCTGCTTCCGGCATCCACGTCCATGGGTCCCTTGTGGCCAACGACTCGCTGTCGTCCTTTGTGACAGTACCCTAAACAGGGTAAAGCCACTACAAGCCACTAAGGTTGTAGTTGGAGCGCGGCGCGTATCTCGCCGCGTGGTTTCCTTCGGTTTCTTGGCTGGGGTGGGTGGGGGGGGGGGGGGGGGGGGGGGATAATTCCGCCCCCCTATTGCAACTTGCCAGCATGTCCTCAGTCTTTTAGTGCTCCAGTTTGCAGGGTTTGGGGTTTGGAGTTTAGCCTTGATGTTGGGGTTCGGGGTTTAGGCCTCTGGCAACTCTGCAGATGCTAAGGCTACACCCAGAGCCCTGACTTAAACCGTAGCCCTCCGACTTGCTAAACCCTAAACTACGGAATCCCGAAGCCGCCATGTTGGTGTTGGCCTGGCTGGCTGTCTTGCAAGCGGCACTGCAGCAGCTGAAGCGAGTTTGAAAGACCTCAACCTGCAACCCCCTCAGCCCGTAGATCCCCCGAACTTGCTGCCGCAGCCCTGAACCCTGAACCCTAAACCCGAAACCCTACGAGCCAGCTTGGGGGCTGGGCATTAAAAAGGGTTCAAGCTAAAAGGGCCAAAGACCTGGGGCCGCAGAATGTTCACACCTATAGGCCCTAGGGTTTAGGGTTTAGGGTTACCCTTAACCCTTAACCCTTGAAAACCTAAACCCAAAACCCTTAAAACCCTGAACCCCTAAACCCCACATCCTTCGACTTCCAGCCCGCCAGGAACCCCCGAAGGGGCCTCTGAGTCTCCAAACCGATAGCGCAATCCGCTATATGGGCTTGGGGGGGGTAAGGTTTAGGGTTTAGGGTGTATAGGGCTTCGGGGGTTTAAGGGTACTTACGGCTCTGCTTTGTCCCAGGGTTTAGGGCTAGGATTGAGGATTGAGGATGTGGGGCTTAGGGTTGAGGTCTCTGGGTTTGAGGTTCAGGGTTGAGGTTTTCCCAAAACCTGATTCCGGAAATCCTACTGCCCCAGAATCCTCAAGCAACCTTTCCTCTAAAGCCCTACACCTTAAAACATCCCTAAGCCCCTAAACTCTAAACCCCTGAAAGCCCTAAAATCCTTGAAAACGGAAAGTAGTTTTAGGCATTTCAGAACTCTTTGAAAGGAGTGAATTCCCTAGGCGAAAACACTAAAATACGTGTTTTCCCCTTAGAGTGCCGTTCATAACCCGCTCCCACCTCTCAGGACGCCGAGTACCTTGTAAATAGCACCATTTTAGCAAATTCCAGCCATCTTAATTTTCAATCTCTGCACGAAAACGCACGGCGAGATGTGCGCCGCGCACCTAGTTTGCAGGCTTCCGGAGATTAAGTTATGGGTTTGGGGTTTAGGGTTTAGGGTTCAGGGTATGAAACCAAACCTTGAGTCAGGGAAGCTTTTGACGCCGAGTGTCGGGAAACATGTTTTCACTCTCCTCGCCCTCGATGCCATCATCGTCACAGATCGCAGGGTCCCAGCTTCCCGGCCTTTCAGGCTAAGAGCCCCTAAACCCTAAACCCTAAACCCTAAACCCTATACGGGGGGCAACCGAAGGAGGACAGGGAACAAGACAGTCAACCCCAACAGAAGCCCTTGATCCCCTGGACCAACAAACAACAAACCAACCCAAAACACCAAGCACCCTTTCTTCTCTAGGCGCATGGCCCGATCTTGAGCCAAAAATTGTTCCGGGTTCATTGACCCTTAACCCTTCTACACCAACTCTTTTCTTCAATACAAACTGCAGCTCCGCACTCCCCCTGTCCTAGGATTTCCTAGGACACAAACTGGAGGTGCAGACCTTTGGCCAAAAACTGCCATTAAGGCAGCAGCCAGCTGCTTGGAATGCAAATTGTGGTTTTACGTCATCCAGGACGAATTTATAGCACATTGGCTAAACACCCCTCACTACAGAGAATCTTTTTTACCACCATGATTCTCTTGTCATTGAAGACTCTTAGCCTTCTTCACCACGAACCGTGGTCTTCGCTACGCGAAAAGCTGTACACTCTCTACTATCAGGGATTTCCATACCCTTAATAGTAACCACCATACTTCCAGCACATTGGCTGTTCCAGCGCACGTGTCTCCAGAAAGAGAAAAAACCCATTCCCTCATCGATACCATCCAGTCATCCCTTCTTTTCCTTCCGATGGCCACCGATACTCAGGTGAAGTCGCAGCAAAACATGCTCCAGGTCCGACACTGTAAGAACAGGATCTTGTATGCCCCTCTGAATTGAGGATATCAACCCCTCTCTCTTCGCATCCTCAATAGCTTGGCAGGATTGTCCCAGATCTGCATTCACAGTGGTAGATGACTGTGCCTCCACTTCAGAAGGACGGTTCTTCTCATCCGGACCTTCCACCACGACCACCTCTTCCTTTTTGGGACTTTGACTTTTCTCTTTCTTCTTCATCTTTCCTGAGACGCTTGCCTTGGTGCGCATTCTCGAAGAGGCCATTTCCCTTCCAGATACCACCGCATTGGATGCTGATCCACCCTTCTCCATGTTAACCGGCATCTTCTTCGGCTTTGGAACCAGAAGAGTGTAGGGATCCTCAATTGCAGCAGTTTTCCTCTTCTTTTTGGCCATCTTCACCTCTTCCTCAACGACAACCTCCGTCTCTTCAGCAGGATTATCCTTACTGGACTCCCTTTCTAGGGACCTCTTTTTGTGCCTTTTTGGATCTCTCTCCTCTTTCATATTGGCTCGCTGGAACCATATCCTCAACTCATCGATCCACTCTTCAACCTCCATTAGTGGAATCTCATGCGACTTCACTATCTCGTGAAGTTCTAATGCAGACAACATGCCAGTAGTCCACGAACACCATTCTGCGTCTCTCTGGTCAGTGTCTCCATTGAACTTTATCAGCTTAAACACCGGATCCGCCTCCGCGCGGGCCAAATCAGATTTACCATCTGACAGAAAAGAAATCGCCTCCATCAGCAATTCCATCATCCGGGTATCGTCGTCGTACCCCATGAAATCCTCTTCATCATCATCATACCGTTCCGGAGAAATTTCCTTTCCACCACTCCTCCGCGGACCATCCCTTGGGGGCGTCCTTGGAGACCTTGGCCTCTGTTCATCCAGCGGATCACCATGTTCAAAGACACACCTGTCCCCATGACGGCATTTTCCAGACCGAGCAAACTGGATACACCTTACACCAGTTGCATCGTGGGAGAACTTGCAGTCCTCTCCAGCGTAACAGTGTCTTCCAGCCACATAGTATTTGCACCAATACGATTGCAGCACCACATCATCATTGGAATGAATAAACTTGCAGTCCTCTCCAAATTTGCAGCGATTGTTCCCTTTGGCGAACCAATAACAGATACCTTGCCTCCTTTTCGACAAGCGTTCTGCTTCCAGACGATCCATGGAACAATTCCGCCCTACATGGACATTGCCATGATCTGAAGGACTACCTTTTTCACCCAAGGTGCTATCAATGTTTGATGCATCAAGAACAGCTGGAAAACCTGGTCTTGGTCCTATCACCTTCATGATTGGTTTCCCACCAGCTCCTGAGCCATTCTGAGATGATCCAAAAACATTGAACACTTTCAAGAAGGCCTTTCTAGTGCCGATCTTCCGCGCCTTTTTGATTGGATGTTTCATTGCTCCAACCTTGGATCCAGGTAGATTTGTACGACACAACCTCCTATACCCAGCTCTATATCCCTTTTTCCAAAGAGCCATAAGGATTCTAGAGGCAGTAACATTCTCCACCTCTACCCTCTCGGACTGTACCTCACTTTCCGGAACAAGCCCATTCAACCCATCCACATCTGAAGACCTTTCCATCTTTTTTGACATCACTTCGTCGAGATAATCTTCAGAGATCCAGGGTAAATTCCTCTTAGAGGAAAAATCGTCACCATTGTCCGGTCCTTCACCAGGATACCCCTTCGTGCTGTCAAAGATCCTACTCGTAGTGCGGTCCTGCGGAGAGAAATCCCAGTTGGGAACAACACGAGAATACACCGACCACAAGAACATTCTGGTGCCAGCCAATCTTGATGAACCACTGGATGTCTCCTCTTCTGGAGAAACTTCTGGCGCTTTGCCATCACTTCCAGCATCACCAATTGTCTCGCTTCCTTCATCTTCAATGGGAATAGGGGATTCATTGATCCCTTGCTCAGATACCGCATCTTGTTGTTCGGGGATCTCCAGCACCATCCCTGAAGGATCCACTTCCTCATCAGCATCGTCGTCCATTCTTCTCCAGAGAACCTCCAATTGATCAGCACACGTCGCCGCCTGAAGGAACTCCATCATTTGGTCCCTCCCGTGCTGCCAGAGAAATTCGGAATTCACCACTATCCCTTGGCCTCCTAGTCTAAGGAATGGAGCAACCAGGTTGGCTACCCTTGCCATAAGTTCCACATGAACTTCCATGCCTGGACTGCGACTCCAATCATAGGCTATTGCCTCCATAGCAGTTCCAAACTTTTCAGTATTTCTGAATTCCTTTTCCAGGCCAGGAGAAAGCAGTGCACCCATCACCGAAAGAGGATAATTTCCCACCACCGGCAAGCACGGATCTTCATGGAACGAATGATGCAAATCTCCGTAGTGTCCTTGATCTCTCCTTTCAAAAAGGAGTCTCCCAGTGTTCAACTGGGCATTCAGTTCATCCACTTGAACCATTTCAGCACATATTCTCTGTGCTGCAGTCGCTATTGCCGGCCAGATAGCACGATCTGCCAACCCACGACGCGTAACCCAAACAGTTGTTGCCGACTGAATCAGTGTACCAGGGTCATATGCCATGACCACCAATGCACCATCATCCATTTTCTGATCAGCATCGTCTTCCAGTGCCAGGTTCAAATCCTGTTCGCTTGCACCTTCAGAGGACATGCTAATAACCAAATTTCGATCCATTTTATTGGACCCCTTCTGATAGTCCTTTTGCCCCACAGGCAACTTGCCGACAGCAACCTTCCAATAAATCCGATTCAGAAGGCCTTTGG